AAAAACATACAAAAATGTTATTTTATCTCTATTTGATCAACTTTTCTACCAGGCATGCACCGTCAATTTTATTTAATTCTGTGGATATCCCAGCTGTCTTACATTTCCAGTTCTGTAGTTCATAACTTCTAGTTCATTAGCGAAAAAATTAAATCAATTCCAACAATTATAAAACCCAGAGAATTATACAAACAATGATAAAATAAACAAGACCCAATACCGCATTGTATATACAATGCATTGTTTCCTCAATTTCAGTGAAATCACATGAACTTTTTTTTTATAGTTGATATTTCTGACTAAAGTGAGGCAAATCGTAAAATTTCATTCGCATAAATCAATAATCGTAAACATAAATTTTCAAAGTAATCGATTCCGTAGTTTGCAAGATATAAAATAAAGTGCTAATACTGTTCATGAGTAAAATTAAAAAATAAATAAAACTACAAAATAAAAATTATAAAATCAGCAAAAAATACATTTCATACGTTTATAAAGCATCATAATATTCGATTCTACACGAAGCGTAAAATATTTTTTTACGCACTCGAAATTTTATCAACTCACCAAAATTCAAATTGCGTTACCACACGCTAAACGAAAATAGTAAAATGGGATAAAACCTGTCATAAAATCGTCCTCGGCCATAAATTACAAAAGCCCATAAACGTTATCCCTTTTGTTATCTAAATCCACCAAAACAAATAGTCGGATTAAAATGAAACGCTCGATCAAGGTAAATACCCCATCAATCCCCTCCTCACAACAGTTTACCTACTAAAACCCGAAATTCTTTGCGATTATTTATATTTTAAAATTTTATCAAACCGAATGCGGAAAAATCGTTGGATTAAGGTGCAATCAATTTTCTGTACGAGATTTTTGCCTCCGCTCCCCTACTAACCACCTGCTTCGCACAACAAACCTTTACATCTCACTACGCCTCCCCGTCCTCGCCCCCATAACACCCCGTGTCAAGTGCCGCGATTATCCACATTTTCCATTCGCATGCAAATCCGGATCATTCGGAAAGCCATCGCGAAAGAGCCTCGTCATGAAATATGGAGTGGCTGCTCACTTTATAACGGCGCCATGAAAAACGATATATTGAAAAAGTTCCTTCCTTTTTTCCGGCGCCGGATTCTGCGAACGTAATAAAAACATGTTTTTATGCGGTTTCCGGTCAGTTGCGGCATCATCGATCAATTGCATTATTTATTTAGGGGCGGGGGTTGTTGGACACGTGCCCATTTCTATGAAATATTTATGGCTGAGGTGTCGAGGGGGGGCGGGGGGGTTGTTAATAGAAACGAGGAAAATTTGTGGTGGGAGGGGTGCGGCGACGGAAATGGGGAAATGGATTCTTTTTTTGTTGTACGGTTAGGGACAATTGTGGTTTCTGGATGGAAGCAATTTAGAGATTTTTTTTTGCTGGAGGAGAAAAAATGTTCCAGATGTTGTCTACGAGATATAAGGACGAAAATAAATTGGAGATGTTTGTGGTGAGGTCTCCGGTTTCAGTTTTTCATTAGGGGATTATATTGTTTATGCATTAAGTTGGTTAGAATGTGACCAGCTAGTTTAATAGTAAACTTAATAATATGAAAATTAAAAAAAAAATCATTGAATTTTAAATATGCTTCGCAGTCTGTTTAATTTAATTATTAATGATTATCATTGTTATTATTATTTTTTAAGCCTTTATTTCTGGTCAGAACAGTGGCCACTCGTGAGGTTGAGACGATTGTAAAACCGAATATTTCCTAAATGTTGCTCTGTAACCTATATATCCCTGAAATTTTTGTGGATTTTTAGAGTTTTAAAAACTTGAAATTTTTCTTTAAATTTCGATCCATTTTCGAAATTTAGTTAAATACATTTTTTGTAGACTTCGAGCTCCGGAAGTCATTGCTGGCCTCGTTTCTTCTATTACTCCGAACCGTTTTTTAAGAATCGCCCATTGAATTATTGAAATTTTTGAAATTTTTAAAAAATCTGATTTAAAACCTTGTTTCGAAAATGTTGCGCTTCCACCGTAAACACTTTTCTATTTGCAATTTCTACATTTATATTCTTGGATCTACATAATTTTTCGTTTTTTCAATTTTTCAAATTTTCAGTTTCTCGATTTTTAATTTTTCGTTTCTTCAATTTTTCGCTTTATAATTTTTTCAGCTTCCAGTTTTAAATTTTACAATTTTTCGATTTTTCGATTTCGTTTCGTCATCTTTTAGATTAGATCTTTGTATTTTATAATTTTTAGATTTTTCAGTTTTTCGATATTTTAGTTTTTCGTCCCTTCACTTGTTCGAATTTCAATTCTCCGATTTTTTACTTTTTCAAAAAAGAAAACGTCGAAAACACGAAAAAAGCATCAAAAATTCCAACATTACAGTTTTTAAAATTCTTTCTTTTTGTCCAAAAATTTAAAAATTAAAAATTGAAAAATCGACTAATTCAAAAAAAGAAGAATTAAAATATCGACGAATTGAAAAATCGAAAAATTGTCCAATCGAAAAAAGGAAAAACTGGAAAACTGAAGCCAAAAAATCAAAGAAATGAAAAATTGGAAAATCGAAAAACTGAAACATCCAGAAATTGAAATTTCGATGTCAGTTTTTTGATTTTTCGATTTGTCAGCTTTTCAATTTTTCATTAGTTCGTCCTATAGATTTGCAATTTATAGATTTAAAAAAAATCATTTTTTAATTTTTCAGTTTTTCAGTTTCTCGATTTGCATTTTTAAGGTTTTGAAGTTTTCAACTACTGATTTTTTAGACAAAAATGTTCGTTTGCTCAAATTCCCGGTTTGCAATTTAAAATTTCTGAATTTTTTGATGTATCAAATTTTCAGTTATTCGTTTCTTTACTTTTTCTATTTGCAGTTTCTAGATTTTCTAATTTTTCCAATTTTTCACCAATTTCATTTTGCGATTTGCAATTTTTTTCCATTTTTCGATTCATACAAATGTTTGTTTTTTGAATTTTTTGAATTTTGAGTTTCTCGGTTTTTACTTTTTCGTCTCTTCCATTTTTCGATTTGCAATTTTTGGAACTTCCAGCTTAGAATTTTTGAATTTTTCGACTTTTCAACTTTTCAATCTTTCGAACTTCGTCTTCCGGATTTGCAGTTTCTAGATGCCGAAATTTTTCTGTTTTTGATTTTTTCGGTTTTTCAACTTTTCGATTTATAATTTTGTGAAATTCCAATCTTTAAATTTAGAATTTTTCGATTTTTCAACATTTGAGTTTTTCGATTAGTGTAAAACTGTATTTGTAGTTTTTAACATCAATAAAGTATTGATTGATTGATTGATTGATTTCAATTTTTTTTTTTAATTTTTCGATTTATGATTTTCAGAATTTTTGATTTTAAATTTTGAACTTTTCGATTATTCAACTTTTCAATTTTGTGATTTTATAATTTTTCCAATTTTTCAATAACTCCATTTTTGATTGGCAACTTTTCGAGTTTTCAACTTTTAAAATTTGCAGTTTTTGATCTGTAATTATTTGATTTTACGATTTTTGCTTGTTTAATTTTTCGAATTTTCAGTTTCTAAATTTTTACTTTTTCGTTGTTCCAATTTTTTGAAAAGCTTTTTTTTGAACTTCCAGCTGTAAATTTTGCAACTCGTCTATTTTTGGACTTCAAAATTTTTCGTTACTTCGTCTTTCAGATTTGCAATTTCTAGATTCCAAAATTTTTGAATTTTTCGAGTTTTCAAATTTTCAATTTTTCGGTTTTTCATTTTTGCTTATCTATTTCAATTTCCAGATTGTATAATTTTTCCAGTTTTCAATTATTCTATTTTCGATTATGTAGTAACTTTTCGATTTTACGAAAAGTTACTACATAAAATTAGAAAAATAAAAAATTATTTTTCTAATTTTGAGTTTTACATATTTGAATTTGAATTTGAATTACCACTTTTTTTAATCGCACCGTAAACACGTTATATTTTTGGAATCAGCACGTCGAGATTTATGTCTCAGAATGTTTTATGGATTTTTAGACAACTTTTTGAAAATTGGAATTTTTTCCAATGCTCCCCCCACCTCCAAATTTCGGCCCATTTTTGACCATTTTTGAAATTTAACTAAATACATTTTCTTGTAGACTCCGATCTCTAGAAGTCATTTCAATCGTTTTTCTAGAATTGCCAATTGTTATCAAAATTTTTGAACTGTTTTAAAAATCTTATTTCAACACTGAATATTTCGAAAATTTTGCGCCTGGATCGTAAACACATAATATTTTGAGAATCAAGATCTATTATAACTCTGAATTTTTTGAGAATTTGTAGACAACTGTTTCAAAATATAAGTTTTTCCAATACGTCTTCAAATTTCGACCAATTTTTTTTGTAAATTTCGAGCTCTAGAAGTCACTTCTGGTCTCGTTTCCAAGATAACTCCAACTGTTTTCCCAGAATCGCCTACTGAAATATCGAAATTTTTGAGTTTTTTTTAAAATCTGCTTTAAAAATCAAATATTTCGAAAATGTTGCGTCTGGATCGTAAACGTTATATTTTTGGAACCAATACGTCGAGACCTATATCTCGGATTTTTTTGTCGATTTTTACACAACTTTTTCAAAATTGAAATTTTTGCAATACTTCTTAAAATTTCGACCATTTTCGATATTTAGCTAAATTCATTTTTTTACAGATTTCGAACTTTAGAAGTAATTTCCGTTCCCGTTTCTTCGATAACCCCAACCATTTTTTAAGAATTGCCAATTGAAATATCGAAATTTTTGAATTTTTTTAAAAACCTGGTTTTAAACCCGAATATCTCGAAGATTTTCCATCTGGGTCGTAAACACATTATATTTTGGAATCAGTATGTCGAGCTCTATATTCGAGAACTGTTTATAGTTTTTTGACAACTTTTTCAAAATTGAAATTTTTACAATGTTTCCATTTTCTGCAACATTGATCATCAGTAACATTAATTAATTAATTTCTGGTTAGAGGGTGGTTAAAATAAGCAAAACTACTTTAAAAAACTTATATTAAAATAGCAAAAATAGTAATAAATACAATCTGAACACGTCCTTATTCTACAGTGCATTAATTTAGTAGCAGTTTTACAGAAAAAAATCTATACTCTATTCCATCTGTAGAAATCGGCACGAAATCTGCTACAAAGGAAGTTCAAACGCTCAGTCACGCGTTTCTAATCTCCGATAAGAAAATCGTTCCATTTCTACAGATCTGAGCAGCTGTAGATCACTATCTACAAAACACAATAGTCCAAAGATAAGCAAATCTAATCACAACGTCAGCGTTTCGTCATCGCCATTAATAAAACCTCGAGCTCTCCTTAGTTACAATAAAATAGAATAAAAAAATATAGAGATTACACAACTCATTTATAAGTACGGATGACATCCTTAATCACCGCTCTACAAATCGGGCACTGCCCATTCCCCACCCCCTGCCTCTGCTTTACCGCACACTGATAGCACATACACATATGTCCACACTTGTACAGCACCGCGTTGATCTCCTTCTGGCAGCATACCGTGCAGAGCTGATCCGCATTGATGAACTCCTCCCCCATCTCGTACACATCCCCTTCCTCGTCGTCCTCCTCGTCACCAGACACCTCCTCGGACGGCACCACCTCCACCGTGGTCGACACCCCGTCTATATCTAGGATCGCCCACAGCGGTCCCCCCGTGTACACCCTCTTGTAGAAGGAGTCGATCTCCTGGCCGTCGACCCCGAAGTGCACGTGACCGTCTCTGGTGACGTAGTAGAACAAGCTAGTGCCTTCTACGCACATGTTCTTGAATAAGGGCCAAATCCAGTAGCAGCCCATTTTGAACACGTCCAAGTAGGAGTAGTCGACGTCGTCGAGGAGAGTATTGGGGTTCTTGGAGGTGAAGCCGAAGCAGACGGTGCTGGATAGCTGGGTGGAGAGTTTGAGGAGTTTGATCGAGACTTTTTCGTTGACTTTGACGGGGCGCGCGCTGAAGACGAGGCCCTTGCCGTAGCCCTGGAGACGCTGGGCCACGTGACCGTCAGGGGAGAGGGCGATGTTGGCACCGTGGATGTTGTGAAAGCGTAACTGGAACAGGGGAGAAATGTCAAAATTTTTCTTTTTTGAGTTAGAACTGGTTAAAATTTCAGCGAAGAACAACATTTTTCAAAATTGTTAGCGGCTGTACTTACTTAGAGCGTGGGTCGAAATGTTAAAATTTTTGAGTTTTTCGATTTTTCGGTTATTCGATTTGCAATTTTTTGAGTTTTAATCCCAAATTTCTGAATTTTTCGATTTTGCAAATTTTCAATTTTGTGATTTTTCAAATTTTCGTTTGGTCAACGTTTCTACTTACAATTTCTAGATTTTAATAATTTTTCCAATTTTTCAATTAGCAGCTTTTCGAATTATCAACTTTCGAAGTTTTCAATTTTTCAATCTATAATTTTTCAATTTTACAATTTTTTGTTTCCACAATTTCTCTTCCAGTTTTAAATTTTAGAATTTTTCATTACTGCACCGTCTGGATTTGCAATTTCTAGATTCTCAAATTTTTCCATTTTTGAATTTTTCAGCTTTTCGATTTTCCAGTTTTCCAATATGCAAATTTTTAGGATTTCAGTTTCAAAATTTTGAATTTTCATATTTTTCATTTTTGAGTTTTTCGGTTTTACAGTTTTCCGATTTGCAATTTTCTCAGTTTCAGTTTTAAATTTTTCAATTTTTCGATTTTTCAAATTTTCCTTATCTGCAATTTTTAGATTTTAATTTTTTTCCAATTTTTCAACTACATATTCCGATTTCGATTAGCAACGTTTCGAGTTTTCAACTTTTCGATCTATAATTTTTCTATTTTACAATTTTCCATTTTTATAGTTTTTCGAGTTTTCAGGTTCTGGATTAAAATTTTTGAATTTTTCGATTTTTCAACTGTTGAAGTATTAGATGTTTTAATTTTTCGTTTCTACACATTTTAGATTAGCTCTTTCCAAATTTTTTGAAAATTTCGTTCTTTTCGTCTAAAAAAGCCTATGATTTGAAAACTAGAAATACTGCAAATCGAACAGTTGTCTACATGAAAAATTGAAAAATTAATTAATTTAAATAACGAAAAATTGAAAATCAAAGCAAAAATCGGGAAACTCAAAAATTCTAAAGTGGATATTTGGGTTTTTCAACTTATCAATTTTTCATTACTTCGTCATCTAGATGAAGAACTGAATTTTTTTGGAATTACAGTTTTAAAATTTTGATTTTTAAATTTTGCGTTTCTTAAATTATTTGAGTTTTCAGTTTTACATTTTTATATTTATTGATTTTTCACCTTCAAATTTTGTTTTTTTCAATTTTTCTTTTTTCGGCCTTTTCTAGTTGTAATTTTTAATTTTTATAACTTTTCGATTTTCCAATTTTTTGACATTTTAGTTATTCGTCTATTCAGTTGCTCTGTTTCCAGTTTTTCGATTTTTTTATTTTTTAATTTTTCGAAGAAAGATCGAAAACACAAGAGCAACATGAAAAAAATTCCTACTTGACAATTTTTCAAAATTTCAGCTTGAAAAATTTGTTCTTTTTGTCCAAAACTTAAAAATAAAAAATCGAGAACTTGAAATACTAAACATTGAAAAGCCTAAAATTTGAAAACTTAAAAAATTTCAAATCGAGATACTGAAAAATCGATTAATTCAAGTAACGAAAAACTAAAATATCCACAAATTGAAAAATCGAAACATTATAAAAGTGTAAAATTAAAAAAGCGAAAAATTCAGAGTTTTTAAACTGGAAACAAGGAATTGCAATTCAAAACCTGAAAAATTCAAAAGTTGAAGTATGGAAAAATTGCAAAACAAAAACTGTAGGAACGAAAAATTACAAAGAAAACTTGAAATCGGAAAATTGTACAATCGAAAAACTGTAAAATCGAAAAAGTGCACAATTGAAAAATCGAAAAATCCAAAAATTACTATCAAAGCAAATAAGTATAAAACTAAAAAATGGAAAAATTGTGTAATTAAGAAAAAGAAAAATCCAAGAAACAAAAAATTGCAAAATTAAAAATCGAAATATCTAATAAACGAAAAATTGAAAAATCGAAAACTGAAAAATTCAAAAGTCCAAATTTCGACATTTCGTGCTTTGCATTTTTCAATTTTTCAACTTTCGAATTTTTCACTACTTTCTCATCTAGATTAACAATTTTAAGATTCCAAATTTCTCATTTTGAATTTTTCGGATTTCCAATTTTCGATTTGCAATTTTTTGAATTTACAACTTTAATTTTCTTACGATTTTTCAATTTTTCATTTCTTCAATAATTCGATTTACAATTTTTTGAGTTTACATTTTTAAATTTTTGAATTTCCAGATAATTTTTCGATTTTTTAATTTTTGAAAAAACACGTCGAAAACAGACATTTTACAATTGTTCAAAATTTCAGCTTCAAAAATTTGGTCTTTTTGTCCAAAATTTAAAGATGAAAAACTGAGAACTTTAAAATATTATTTTAAAAACTAAGTAAAACTTGAAAACCTAAGATTTAAAAACTAGAAAAAGTTCAAATCGAGATCTTGAAAAATCGATTAATTCAAATGACGAAAACTGAAAATACGAAAAATATCTACAAATTGAAAAATCGAAAAATTATAAATACGAAAAAGTGCAAAATTAAAAGATTGAAAAATTGTCAAACCGCAGAACTGAAAATCGAAAAAATCCAGAAATTGTTAAACCGAGTAAGCTTAGAACAGAAAAATGGAAAAATTGTGTAATTAAAAAATCGAAAAATCCAAAACACAAAAAACTGAAAAATTCAAAAGTTGAAATTTCGTTATTTAAATTTTTGAATTTTTCGATTTTTCAACATCTGAATCTTTCGTCATTTGTTTTCTGGATTAGCTATTTCTAAATTCCAAAATTTTTCTGCTTTTGAATGATTCGATTTGCAATATTTTGAAATTCCGGTTTCAAATTTTTGAAATTTTCCATTGTTCAACTGTTGAAGTTTTCGATTTTTCCTTTCAGATTTGCTCATTCTAGGCTTTATAATTTGTCTCTTCAGCTATTTGATTTTTCATTTATTCATTTCAGCTTCAAAAATTTGTTCTTTTTGTCCAAAATTGAAAGATGAAAAACCGAGAACTTTAAAATATTATTTTAAAAACTAAGTAAAACTTGAAAACCTAAGATTTAAAAACTAGAAAAAGTTCAAATCGAGATCTTGAAAAATCGATTAATTCAAATGACGAAAACTGAAAATACGAAAAATATCCACAAATTGAAAAATCGAAAAATTATAAATACGAAAAAGTGCAAAATTAAAAGATTGAAAAATTGTCAAACCGCAGAACTGAAAATCGAAAAAATCCAGAAATTGTTAAACCGAGTAAGCTTAGAACTGAAAAATGGAAAAATTGTGTAATTAAAAAATCGAAAAATCCAAAACACAAAAAACTGAAAAATTCAAAAGTTGAAATTTCGTTATTTAAATTTTTGAATTTTTCGATTTTTCAACATCTGAATCTTTCGTCATTTGTTTTCTGGATTGGCTATTTCTAAATTCCAAAATTTTTCTGCTTTTGAATGATTCGATTTGCAATACTTTGAAATTCCGGTTTCAAATTTTTGAAATTTTCCGTTGTTCAACTGTTGAAGTTTTCAATTTTTCCTTTCAAATTTGCTCATTCTAGGCTTTATAATTTGTCTCATCAGTTGTTTGATTTTCAATTTTTTGATTTTTCATTTTTTCATTTCAGCTTCAAAAATTTGTTCTTTTTGTCCAAAATTGAAAGATGAAAAACCGAGAACTTTAAAATATTATTTTAAAAACTAAGTAAAACCTGAAAACCTAAGATTTAAAAACTAGAAAAAGTTCAAATCGAGATCTTGAAAAATCGATTAATTCAAATGACGAAAACTGAAAATACGAAAAATATCTACAAATTGAAAAATCGAAAAATTATAAAAGCGAAAAAGTGCAGAATTGAAAAATTGAAAAATTGTCAAACCGCAGAACTGAAAATCGAAAAAATCCAGAAATTGTTAAACCGAGTAAGTTTAGAACTGAAAAGTGGAAAAATTGTGTGATTAAAAAATCGAAAAATCCAAAACACAAAAAACTGAAAAATTCAAAAGTTGAAATTTCGTTATTTAAATTTTTGAATTTTTCGATTTTTCAACATCTGAATCTTTCGTTATGTGTTTTCTGGATTAGCTATTTCTAAATTCCAAAATTTGTCTGCTTTTGAATGATTCGATTTGCAATATTTTGAAATTCCGGTTTCAAATTTTTCAAATTTTCCATTGTTCAACTGTTGAAGTTTTCAATTTTTCCTTTCAGATTTGCTCGTTCTAGGCTTTATAATTTGTCTCTTTAGTTGTTTGATTTTCAATTTTTTGATTTTTCTTTTCTTCATTTCAGCTTCAAAAATTTGTTCTTTTTGTCGAAAATTGAAAGATGAAAAACCGAGAACTTTAAAATATTATTTTAAAAACTAAGTAAAACTTGAAAACTGAAGATTTAAAAACTAGAAATAGTTCAAATCGAGATCTTAAAAAATCGATTAATTCAAATGACGAAAACTGAAAATACGAAAAATATCTACAAATTGAAAAATCGAAAAATTATAAATACGAAAAAGTGCAAAATTAAAAGATTGAAAAATTGTCAAACCGCAGAACTGAAAATCGAAAAAATCCAGAAATTGTTAAACCGAGTAAGTTTAGAACTGAAAAATGGAAAAATTGTGTAATTAAAAAATGGAAAAAATTGTGTAATTAAAAAATCGAAAAATCCAAAACACAAAAAACTGAAAAATTCAAAAGTTAAAAATTTCGTTATTTAAATTTTTGAATTTTTCGATTTTTCAACATCTGAATCTTTCGTCATTTGTTTTCTGGATTAGCTATTTCTAAATTCCAAAATTTTTCTGCTTTTGAATGATTCGATTTGCGATTTTGAAATTCCGGTTTCAAATTTTTGAAATTTTCCATTGTTCAACTGTTGAAGTTTTCGATTTTTCCTTTCAGATTTGCTCATTCTAGGCTTTATAATTTGTCTCTTCAGTTGTTTGATTTTCAATTTTTTGAT